GGGGACAGGGGACAGGGACGGGGGATAAGGGGACGGGGATAAGGGGACGGGGATAAGGGGATGGGGACAAGGGGACAGGGGACAAGGGGATGGGGACAAGGGGACAGGGGACAAGGGGACAGGGGACAAGGGGACAGGGATGGGGACAATGGGACAGGGGGACAGGGGACAAGGGAACGGGACGGGGCAGGAAGGACAAGGGGACAGGAGGGACAAGGGGACAGGAGGGACAAGGGGACAGGAGGGACCAGGGGACGGGGGACAGAGGACAAGGGGACAGGAGACAAGGGGACAAGGGGACAGGAGACAAGGGGACAGGGGACAGGAGGGACCAGGGGACGGGGGACAGAGGACAGGGGACAGGAGACAAGGGGACAAGGGGACAGGAGGGACAAGGGGACAGGAGACAAGGGGACAGGGGAGAAGGGGACATGGGGGACAGGGGACAAGGGGTCAGGGGACAAGGGGACATGGGGGACAGGGGACAAGGGGACAAGGGGACAAGGGGACAGGGGGACAGGGGACAGGGGACCGCCACCTCCCTGTCCCTTCCCCGCTGGGGGCAAACAGGGCCCCAAGGAGAAACAAAAACCGGACCTCTTGAGAGAGAGGCCACAGGCAGCCTCCCTTTTCCCCCTCCTCGGCCTCCTCTGGCCTCGCCTCTACAGGTGAGGCCGGATGGGAGGCCGGGGTCCCCCCTCCTGTCCCCCTCCCGGTCCCCCCGGGTCCCCCGTCCCGAAGGCGGGTGGGTGACGGCAAAGCCAAGGGCGGGAGCAAACAGGTGGCCGCGGCCCGGGTGCAAGTGTGAGCACGACGGGAGGCCGAGGAGGGAGGATCGCGGGAGAGGGCGGGAGGTGGAGGCCGGCCTGAGCAAGAGCGAGACCCCGTCTCTACTAAAAAACAATAGAAAGAAACGAGCGGGACAACTGAAAATATATATATATAAAAAAAAACGAGCCGGGCGTGGTGGCGCGTGCCTGTCGTCCCAGCTACTCGGGAGGGAGGCTGAGGCGGGAGGATCGTTTGAGCCTCAAAGTTGGAGGCTGCTGTGAGCGAGGCCGGCGCCACAGCGCTCACGCCGGCCCGGGCGACAGAGCGAGACTCTGTGTCAAAAGGAAGCGCAGCCCAGGGGTCAGGGGTCGCGTGTTGGGAGCCACACCCCCGCCACGACACTCGTCCCTGCAGGTCTCTGGGCGCCGAGTCCCCGCTCTGGGCAGGCCAGGCCGGGCGGCTTTGTGTCCCTGTGGGTCGTCCTCCCCGGGGGAGGGGA